TAGGACTACCTGTCTTGAACTTTCTAACTTATTTTCTTTCTCAGGATTTAAAGAAAACTCTAGGATCAAAGCTTGATACTTTGTTGAAGATTTATGTGAAACCTGATGAAAGGAACATAGAGAGAGAATCTAGTGTTCCGATTACTAAAGATGGAGTTGATGATCATTGTCGTGGTACAGAGGCTACTGTTACAATTAACAAAGATGCAGGTGGTGATGAACGTGATGATATGGATGTGCATGCAGATGTTCAGTATGAAAGTGATTTTAGAGATTCACATCTAGATGATGAAACTGAGAACGTCACTGATATTAGGAAAGGTTAGATATAGATTTTGAATTTTTTTTCATTGAAATTTATATTCAATAGCGTAATACATATAAACTTTTTTGTGATTACAAATATTTGTAGAATCTATTGATGGAGTGGAAGTTCAAGATGTAGGAGAATGTCAAGACCAGGAAAATTCAAAAGAGACAGGAGTAACAGAAAAAATTTGTAAATGTTGTGGATTGCAATCTCAGGAGGATTTAGAAAGTCCATTGGGAACAAGTGTTAGTGAGATTGTATGCAAATGCTTAGAAGGAACATATGATCTTTCTACACCTCTGTCATATAAAGAGAAATTTGGTGTTCAAACTTGTGCCAATCAAGGTTAGATAAAATTTTCATTATATACTGAATGTTAGTTTTAGTGNTTTTTCCAGAATATAAAATTAGAAGCATTCACCAAATACTACTAAAAGGCAAAACAATAGATAGGATAAAAAACAAACGATAATTATTCTTTCAGTAGATGTAACAACAATGAAGCATTTGAAACTTTCTCTCTCTAGAATGTGAGCTCTCCTCTCAGGCAACTGATTTGACGAGGAAAGCTAAATTTGGAGGAGGAAGGAGTACCGTACATCTAGATACAACTAAAAGAGACCTAATACTGCAAGGGAAGAAGCTAGAGTGGAGTACAATCTCAAGACCTAGAAAATACCGAACGAAGAAGCATATCTGAGATTGTTTCCAAATGCATAGATGGAACATGTGATCTCTCTACACCTCGCTCTCTTACCGACAATATTGGAAGCCAAGAAAATGCTAGTGAAGATAATGATTTAACTGGGATGATCTTGATAATTGCAAATGGTTAGACAATATTTTTTTTTAATTTTATACATGTTTGTTTTAATCAAACATTAGTAACAAGTACTAATTGTGTTAGCTTTTGTAAATATTTTGCAGAATCTTGTGAACTTGCAACTGAAGAACATGGAGAACAATTGCAAGATAAAAAAAATGTGCATTTGGAAGATAAAGAAAATGATGCATGCAATATGTTAGCTGAATTGTCTGTTGAAAAAACACAAGAAGGCAGTGTGAACAAGACAGGTATTGATTGTGTNTCCTACTCCTCCAAGTACACAAATGAGCATTGATGGGGGTTTGTCTATGGAGGTTGAAGGAAATGTTGAAGAAGAGCTTGGTCGAGGTAAAATGGATAAAAAGCTTAGTTGGAAGTTGAAATCTCCTTTTGATCAGGAAAGAAAAGCAGGAACATCGATGGCGCAAAATGAAAATACTCCCAAGAGTTCGGGCTGGATAAAATCAACATATACTCGTAGATGTGTTTTCCATTATGCCAAAGATGATGCAAACTTATTGAAGAAATTCATTGTGTGGTTGGGCAAAGAGAAAAGGAAAGGTTGCAAAAAACAGTAAGTCCCTTAATGTATTTCATTATTTGTTAATTGCTTAAATTCGTCTCCTTAACTTGTAACTTTTAATTTAGGGCTAAGTGTGTTGATATTGAAATTGCTAAATTTAAGTGTCCTTAACTTCTGTGATTGTATGTCTAAGTTTAGGACCAAGTGTCCTTAACTTTTGAATTTGAAAATCAAAGTTAAGGACCAAGTGTCCTTAACTTTTCAACTTAAAATTCAAAGTTTAGGACCAAGTGTCCTTGACTTTTCAACTTGGAATTCAAAGTTTAGGACCAAGTGTCCTGAACTTTTGAACTTGTAAGTCAAAGTTAAGGACTGCATGTCTTTAACTTTTGAACCTGTAATTCAAACTTAAGGACTGCCTGTCCTTAACTTTTGAACCTGCAAGTCAAACTTAAGGACTCGTGTCCTTAACTTTTAAACTTGGAACTATAAGTTAAGGATAGACAGTCCTTAACTTTTATACTTGTTAGTCTAAGTTAAGGACAAAGTGTCCTGGACTTTTGAACTTGTAAGTCTAAGTTCAGGACCATGTGTCCTTAACTTTTGAACTTGAAACTCAAACTGCAGGACCAAGTGTCCTTAGCTTTTGAACTTGTAATTCAAACTTAAGGACTGCCTGTCCTTAACTTTTCAACTTGAAAGGCTAAGTTCAGGACTAACTTCTAACTTCGATATTTTCAAAATTTTCAGGGGACAAACTGATATATATGCTGATGATAATGGTGTAAGAAAGAATCAATACAAATTGTATCATCAAAAAATTAGTAGCAAAATGTTCTTCCTTGAGCTTTCAGATAGTAGCTTTGTACTTGATGGTAAGGTTTGATAATTCGCAAGGCATTTATTTTCTTTATTCTTAATTTATCATTTTTTAGTTATTTTATGACTGATGGATTTGTTTTATTTTTTGCCTTTTTATGAATCATATTGACATTGCCCTATATTATCTGAGAAAGAAGGAATGCTACCACCCTCGCGACCATCCTTTTCGTTTCATTACTACAGATATTCTTTTTTATAACTATATGGTGCTTGTGTATAAAGATTTCAGTGAAGATGCTACTAATGAGTTTTGGTGTGCTGGTGATAATCAGTTGTTTCTGACACCATATGTGTGGGGGGACAGTCGTAGATGTGGAATTGCTTGGACAGAGGTTGACAAAATCTTTTTTCCATGTCGGCTTCCTTCAGAAGATGATAATGCTGTGACACACTTTCTTTTGGGGGTATTGGACTTGAATCAGAAAAAGATTGATGTGTACGATTCCATATATAGTGAGCCATATGAGACAGGAATGAATCACATGGAAATGTATGCACGCATGATCCCCCACTTGCTAAAGTTCTCACAGTTTGACAAACATCACATGTCTTTTGGAAATGCCTTCAACAAATTTGATATTCAGTGGCAAAGATGACCACACCAAACTGGATTTTACGTGTTGTTATTTGTTATATTATTTATATGTACTTTAGATTTATTATTTAATTCACTCCATATCTTACATTTTTCTTAGGACTGATTGTGGTGCATTCCTGATCAAATATGTGGAGTTGTTGAGGATTGAAAAGGATGTGGAAAAATTCCAACCTGAAGACATAAAAGACTTTAAAAAGAACTTGCCGCAAATCTTTGGGCACATGGTGAGTGGAAAAGAAATTCTGGTTATGATACACCACCATAAAATGTTGGCGATGACTATGAGAGTGAAAATGAAACTTGTTGTCCGAAGGAGTTGTAGTTTATTTGGAAAAAAATTGGTTGTGGTTGATCTTTTGTATAAAATTACTGTAAAGAATCCATATGAATTCTGAAATATTCTGTAAATTCCTCAAAAGGCACTTATATTTTGTTTGCGTAGCATAATTTTTTGTCATAGCTATGCAAAATTACAATTTCAGAAGTAATATCAAGGCATCATGTTATTAGTTTCTTTGTTTCTCTCAAGTGTTGATTTGTCCATTGAGCTTGTTAGTATTAGTTCATGACTAAGTGTAATTGAACTTCAAATTCAAAGTTAAGGACCAAGTGTCCTTAACTTTTGAACTTTGAAATCAAAGTTAAGGACTTCCTGTCCTTAACTTTTGAACGTGTAATTCAAACTTAAGGACTGCCTATCCTTAACTTTTGAACCTGCAAGTCAAACTTAAGGACTCCTGTCCTTAACTTTTGAACTTGAAACTAAAAGTTAAGGACAGACAGTGCTTAACCTTTGAACTTTGAACTCAAAGTTAAGGACTGCCTGTCCTTAACTTTTGAACGTGTAATTCAAACTTAAGGACTGCCTGTCCTTAACTTTTGAACTTGAAACTAAAAGTTAAGGACAGACAGTCCTCAACCTTTGAACTTTGAACTCAAAGTTAAGGACTGCCTGTCCTTAACTTTTGAACGTGCAATTCAAACTTAAGGACTGCTTGTCCTTAACTTTTCAACCTGCAAGTCAAACTTAAGGACTCCTGTCCTTATTTTTTAAACTTGAAACTAAAAGTTAAGGACAGACAGTCCTTAACCTTTGAACTTTGAACTCAAAGTTAAGGACTGCCTGTCCTTAACTTTTGAACGTGCAATTCAAACTTAAGGACTGCCTGTCCTTAACTTTTGAACTTGAAACTAAAAGTTAAGGACAGACAGTCCTCAACCTTTGAACTTTGAACTCAAAGTTAAGGACTGCCTGTCCTTAACTTTTGAACGTGCAATTCAAACTTAAGGACTGCCTGTCCTTAACTTTTCAACCTGCAAGTCAAACTTAAGGACTCCTGTCCTTAACTTTTGAACTTGAAACTCAAAGTTAAGGACAGACAATCCTTAACTTTTGAACTTGAAACTCAAAGTTAAGGACAGACAGTCCTTAAGTTTTGAACTTTGAACTCAAAGTTAAGGACTGCATGTCCTTAACTTTTGAACCTGTAACTCAAAGTTAAGGACTGCCTGTCCTTAACTTTTGAACTTGAAACTCAAAGTTAAGGACTGCCTGTCCTTAACTTTTGAACCTGCAAGTCAAACTTAAGGACTCCTGTCCTTAACTTTTAAACTTTGAACTCAGAAGAAACCAAAAAAAACGTAAGCAGAAACAAATTTTGAAAATTTAGATATCTGCTCAAATAAGAATAATCTAAATGGATCCAATTTATAGCAAAAACTTAAAAGAGTCGATAAACATAAGTGTATATATCTACTATTCTCTATGCTTTCTTGAAAATGGATGGACTGCCGGAGAATATATACAAGCTGTTCTATTATGACTAATTCTTCTGCAACGACCACATTTGAATGTTATTTTTTAAGACTCGGTACCTGGAATATGCCTTTTCTTCTGCCTTATACCTGGTGGCACTTTGAAATCTGGAGGTTTAACAATTTGTGACTTAACAATCTCTGCTACAATCCAAGAATCAGTATGTCCTGCAGGATGTATTTGTCTTTCATATGTTTTCAGCCAAGATTCCTTTAAGTACCAGTGCGAGCAAAAGTTGGACTTCTTGATGTTTCTATTCTCGATAGCTGCAATTGCATGTATGCATGGTAATTCATCAAATTGAAACTGAAAAAATCACATGTTCTTTTGTTTAAGTCCACCAAGAAAGTTATTCCTTCTTCTTCAACTCTAGAACGCCATGAATCAATAGGGAAGACCTTCAATGCTGAAAAATTATAAGTTAGTACATTATGTTAAATTATATTAAAATCATAAGCTAAACATAGAACATAATACTTACATTCAAAGTAAATGCTAAATCTATCTTTTTCTTCAATTCATCCTCTACCCAATAAGAAACATCATAAAAAGTTCCTTCTGCTTCATTTCTTCTATCATAAAACCAACATTGTAGCTTCACTTGAATGAAATCCATCATTCTTAATATAGGCAGCTCCCTTGCTTCTAATAGGACATAATTTATTGACTCAACTATGTTTGTTGTGAGTATGTCATATCTTCGTCATGGACTACAAGAACGTGCCCACCTTTCCGGTGGTTCTTCCATCAAGTAGTCATAAGTCTTCTTATCTACTTTTGCTATATCTGACATGTATAGATCAAATTCTTTGCGCCTGTATACTCTTGCAGCACTTTGAAAAAGTTTTATGACCTCACTTTTCACCTTCCTTCGCTTTAGGTTCTGCTCCAAATGATAGATGCAAACCCCATGATGGCTTTCAGGATATACCTTTGCAATGCCATATGCAATAGCTTGATGCATGTCTGATAAAAAAATTAAATTCTCACGGCACCCAATTGCATTGCGAAGCTGACTAAAGTACCACTCATAGGAATTGTTATTTTCAGATTCTGCTATTCCAAAGGCTAGTGGTAAAATTTGGTTATTTGCATCCTTTGAAACTGAAATTATTAAAACACCACGAAATTTTGACTTCAAAAAAGTTGCATCAACATCAATCACTGGTCTACAATGATTCCAACCAAATATTGATGATCCATATGTATAAAACATATAAAAAAACCTGAAAATACAATATAAAACAAGGTTTACAGAAGTTAAGGACAGGTAGTCCTGAACTTCAGATTACAAGGTTAAAAGTTAAGGACAGTCAGTCCTTAACTTAGAGTTACAAGTTATAAAGTTAAGGACATGCAGTCCTTAACTTTGAGTTCAAAGTTCAAAAGTTAAGGACAGGCAGTCCTTAACTTTGAATTACAAGTTCAAAAGTTAAGGACAGCAGTCCTAAACTTCTGGTTACAAGCTCAAAAGTTAACTGGTTAAGGACAACATGTCCTAAATTTTAAAAACGTACTAATAAACTTTTTTTTTATTGTTTACCTGTTGTTGTCGTCTATCTTTATGTTACTATATATACCCGGGTTTTTACTTCTCATCATATACAAGTATGAAGACAATAATTCATAATTCCCTTTAGGAGTTCCTCTTATTAAAGCGGAAGCAAGTTGAATAGCACGCCACGCCTTGTGATACCCATTGTCTAGTCCATGCAATTTTTGCATCTCTGCCATGGCAAAAGCTGGTGTAACTTCAAACCTTGGGTCTCGAAGATTGTCGATAATGTAACCACTAATCAACTTTGAAGTTGCATGCTTTTGATCAGCTTTCATAGTGTTAACAGAGCAGTCATGCTTTTTCTCAATCTTTACTATCTTGAACAGTGTTGAATCTTTAATTCTAAAAGCACGCACACACCATCCACACCTATCATCATTGCATTTCAACGAATATCTTGTTGAGCTTGATCTAACAACCTTGAATTCAAAATTTCCTTTAATTGCTATATTTGAAAAACAGTTAGTTATACTCTTCTTTTTGTCAAATACTGATCCCACTTTTATTTCATCCAACGAAGCATTTTCTCTTAATATCGTAGTTGGGGATTCTTTTTGTTTCAAATTTGACCTTCGTCTAGTTAGTTGAGTAGAGGTTTTTTCAGCAACTTCTTCGATTACCTGTGCACTCTCTAAGACTTGAATACCCAGAGCTTGTTCGTTGTCAATCTCTATAATGCTTTGTCCTTCTACTTGAATAGAATCAAATGTTTGAAGCACCTCTTCAGTTATTGGTTGAGCTTCAACCATATCTATTTCCATTATCTGTTGGAATTTGTTTTGATTGTCATGTTGAGTTTCTCTGTTGACATGTGTTTGAAGTACCTCTTCAGTTATTGGTTGAGTTTCAACCATATTTATTTCCATTATCTGTTGACATTTTTTTTGATTGTCATGTTGAGTTTCTCTGTTGACACGTTGAAAGTTGCTTGTTGATCCAAAAACTCTTTCCGAAATATCAACAATGAAACGACAGCCCTTGAAGAGTGAATGAGTTTTTAGTAACTCTATACATGTGTGAAGATCTAAATCTTTGGATACAAGCATTCCCTTGCTTGTTCCAAGGTTGATATCAAATCATATCACTACTTCAAACTTGTCTCTATCCAATTCAATAACTTCAAAGATCTGTTTAATGAATTCTTGAAACCGAATTGCCTCAGGTACTAGAACAAGCTTTGTTTGATGATCAAGATACTTATAGTCTTCAGTCCATCTACCATTAAAAGCAACAATAATGCATATTGTTTCCATCCTGCAAGTCAAGAGAATGAGAAACTCAGGACATATTTTATAGAGCAATCCTTGTATAATTAAGAACAGGTATTGTAAGTTCAAGACCAAGTTAAGGACCAAGTGTCCTTAACTTTTGAACTTGGAATTCAAAGTTAAAGACTGCCTGTCCTTAACTTTTGAACCTGTAATTCAAACTTAAGGACTCATGTCCTTAACTTTTGAACTTGAAACTCAAAGTTAAGGACAGACAGTCCTTAACTTTTGATCTTTGAACTCAAAGTTAAGGACTGCCTATCCTTAACTTTTGAACCTATAATTCAAACTTAAGGACTGCCTGTCCTTAACTTTTGAACCTGCAAGTCACAATTAAGGACTCCTGTCCTTAACTTTGCCTTAACTTTTGAACTTGAAACTCAAAGTTAAGGACATACAGTCATTCACTTTTGAACTTTGAACTCAAAGTTAAGGACTGCATGTCCTTAACTTTTGAACCTGTAATTCAAACTTAAGGACTGTCTGTCCTTAACTTTTGAACCTGCAAGTCAAACATAAGGACTCCTGTCCTTAACTTTTGAACTTGAAACTTGAAGTTAAGGACTTCCCGTCCTTAACTTTTTAACTTATAGTTGTAAGTTAAAGACCAAGTGTCCTTAGATATTGAACATGTAAGTAAAAGTATAGGACCAAGTGTCCCGAACTTTTCAACTTGAAATTCAAACTTCAGGACCAAGTGTCCTTAACTTTTTCAAAACAATTTGCAAAACTATGACAATATGTCCTTAATATACAGAACAACAGCAACAAAGTTGAGGACATTGTGTCCTTAACTTTTTCAAATCAATTTGCAAAAGCAGGACACTATGTCCTTAATATTATGTGCTCAATTTTTATAGAATTATCACAGGACGCGATGTCCTTAACCTTATCAATCCAGAAATTCCAAAAAAAAAAATCAAATTTCTACTTACTGTATAAAAATCAATAGAAATCGGAAAAAGTATGACTATGTCGAAATAAAAATCAATAGAAACACATAAAAGTATAACTTACTGTAAATTTATATCGATTTTTGGACGAGAAGGTTGAATTATATAGTTTAAAATCGGAAGAGAATCTTCTGCAATTCGATACTTTGAAATTCGACGATCACAGTGAAGTGCGCTGTTGCTGCTGCTGCTGATCGTTAATAAAAGCGTAGGTATAAGTTACAGCAGAAGGGTATTTTCGTCCAGTCAGGTATAAGTTTATTAAACCAGTGGCTAAAGCCTAAAGACATTTAAAACACTGGCTTTAAAATAAAGACAGGTGCTATTAGTGGCTATTTGTGCACATCCCCAATCTCGTCATCTCATCGGGTCGATTGAATCCGGTTTAATATATAACTCGTCATTTGTTCAACAACTTCTTACTAATATGGAAATTAAATTTGGTGCTCATCAAATTTAATGGTAATGGAAGGCAGTAATGAAACCAAATTTTTTACTAAGGGGTATCAAAATATAAAAAAGTAAATACACGAAGAAGTTAAGGATTCAAAATATAGTATATGTATATAAAAACAAAATTTTGGCCTAGCTACACAATATAATTTTCAGGCGGATGGTATCAATTTAGCCTAAGGTGGCACCACCATTGATTCGTTTCATGATTATTTATCATTACTATTAGGGGTCGTTTGGTAGTTGGTTAGGGGAAAAGTTATTCATGTATTAGGGGTAATATAACTTATACTATGTTTGATAGCCATTAGTTATTTTTTACCAAATTCAGCATAACTAATACCATATTTGGTTGGCATTTTATAATTCTACATAAATAATACATGTATAAGTTATGAGTCAATCTGTGTATTATTTTATGCGGGGTCGAAGGTGAAATAACTAATACATGAATAAAATACTGAAATGATAAATTTACCCCTATCAATTTACCACAAATCATTGCTATTTTCTCTAGCAAACTTTCCAGTGCCGTTTTCTCCAGCAAATAACAATATTGTGCTATGATGTTTTTGAATTACTAAATAAAGTGTGTAACAATATAGCAAAACATTCAACCAAAATCCAAGAAAGAATTATATACACTATAATTAGCATGCCTTTTTTTTTTTGAATTTCACATGCATTACTCAAGGACTAATCCCTGCATAACTAATACATCATAACTAATACTTGTATAACTAATACATGTATAACTAATACATGCACAACTTTAACTGACAACCAAACGACCCCTTAAGGGATGACCTGTGCTGTGCATGGGCCCAAGGACTAACACAATTTAAGTGAATTAATAATTTAACTTTATATTCTCTAGGTTTGAGTATGATTGAGAAATGTAACCGCAATTTAAATTAATGTTAGTGAAATAGTGAAATTTTTTGTTTAAGCGAAATAAATGCAATTTTGGCGCAAATTTTCTGTGATGATCCGACCCGTCGTTTCATAAGAACCGCTCCATTTCCCCCATTTCCTGCTTCGTGATGCTTCATTATCAGTGTTTTGTGTGAACGAGTTGAATTGGGTTGATTTTTGGAAGGAAATGAGACACTTAGTCTCTTTAAGGAAGGCTTGTTTTGGAAAAGTCAACCGGATGTTGACCTATGAGTTAGATGGATCGGATGTGGATTCCGATGATTCGGTTAGCTTCGGGGGATGATTTGTGACGTAGGAGTGTGATCGGAAGTGCTTTTGGAGGTCCGGTGTAGAATTAGGCTTGAATTGGCGAAGTTAGTATTTTGGCGAATTCCGGTTGATAGGTGAGATTTTGATCCGAGGGTCGGAATGGAATTCCGAGAGTTGCTGTAGCTTCGTTAGGTGATTTGGGATGTGTGTTCAAAATTTCAGGTTATTCGTAGGTGATTTGGTTGGGTTTTTGATCAAATGCGTGTTTCGGAAGTTTTAGAAGAACTTAGGCTTGAATCCGATGTAAATTTGGTGTTTTGATGTTAGTTTTGGTGTTTTGAGAGTGAAACTAAGTTTGAATGATCATATGTGACGTGTTAGTATGTTCGTATGCGGTCCCGAGGAGCTCGGGTGAGTTTCGGATAGGTTTGGGCTGCATTGTGCTCGTTTTTCTTATGCTTCGACGTCGTTTCTTCAAGCATAAATGATATCATATTGAACTAATGAGATCCGATTACTACTTTGAATGAAGCATTAGATCCGTATCGTAATTACGGACCCGTAGCAAAAAAAATCGTCGAATTTGGACATCGTATGAGGATTTTATGGCCATTTTACCAAGGTTGCCCAGATTTTCAGGTTAATAACGAAATTGCCCCTGACGGCGTATTAAAAACCTGCACTATTTGCAAATCTTAAAACCTACATATCTCCTTCATTATAAGGTCAAATTGAGGTATTCAAAAGCCTAAATTCATTAGAATTTCAAAAGGAATCCATTGGGAGAAGTAAAACGCGTGAACAGTATACCTATAATGAGCAGGTCGAGTTTTCTTCCAATTTTTGAACGGGAAAAAGCTTCTGAGGTGATTTTTAAGAGAGAAAATCAGTGGGTATCACAGAGGTAAGTGATTTGATTATTAAAACTCGTTTATGGGTGATTATAGACCATAATCCCCGCCTTTAATTCATGAAAAATAGTAGAAAAATAGAATTTTGGGGCATGAGATTATGAGACCTTTAGAGGTCGATTTGAGGGGTCAAACGGACTCCGATTTTGGTGTTCTTTATATGTACGGAATCGGGAGAAGATGAAGAACACTTTTCTGTAAAAAAATTCTGAGTTTCGAGAAGTGGACCCGGGGCTCGGATTTTGTCAATTTCGGGATTATTGATGTTTTTCGATTATTTTCGATTGGGTATTGATGCTATAGCAAAATGTGATGTATTAGTTGTGGCTTTGGGCAGATTCGACGCGCGAGGAGGTCGATTTGAGAGGCAAGGGCATAGCGAGCTAGGATTTTGGCCGGCTTGAGGTTAGTAATAGATGTAAATGTTGTGTTGAGGGTTAAAAACCCCGAATTTGCACATTGTAGTGCTATGTTGAGGTGACTTGCACGCCGGATAACGGGCGTGGGGTAGAGCACCGTCGGGGATCGTGATTTGGTCCGTCCCGCTTAATAAAATTACTACCTAATTAATTGAAGCATAGGGAGATCCTTATAAAAATGGATTAATTGTCATAATTTGGCCTCGTGCCAACTGATTGAATCCTTCAGGGATTGTTTTTACTGGTTTCTTACCATATTTTCAGACAATTGAACTCAGTCCTAGTATTTAGTACTGTTTTGCAAACTCAGCCACTTTTTCTCAAAACTTGGAACTTAAATAATATTTCTAATGAAGTTTGGGCTGAATATTTCTATATTATTGTGCCCGAGGGGCTTATATGATTTTGGACTGAGTATAGGATCGGGCTGCGCGCCGCAGCAGTATTATATTGATATTGATATGAGGCTTAGGGCCTAATGGATGCCACGAGATGGCTTGATATTGCACTTGGGCCGTAAGGGGTCCCTCCTGTAGTCTGCACACCCCAGTGAGCGTCGTCGACGATAAATAAATGGACCGGGCTGCACGTCGTAGCGGGTACTAGAGAGTATCGTACTATTTGTTGCATGTCTTAATTTATTGTCATTCATTTACTTATCTGTTGCGGCGTCATTA